CATGATGGATAAGGCAAAGAGGATGCCTTCCCTCAAATGGTTTAAAATTAGGTGAGAGAAACACTAAATAAGTAAAGAAGCAGGCAAATAATTACACATAATTACAGTGAGGTGATAGAGCAGTCATCTGCCAACTTCTTAATCTGTGTCTATAATAAAACATCTTGAGGGCAACCTCTATTGCTGAAAATATTCCATTATTTGTACATTCATTTACAAATCATCTCTATGTGCTACTTAATAGGTATTTAATATATTTAAACACATCAAATAAATTAAAGAATGATAAAATATGATATAAAATAACTTCTAATATGTTGCAAAATTAACTGTTTTTATATTTTCTGTAAGGAGCCCTGGTGGTGCACCAGTTAAGTGTTTGGCTGTCAACAAAGAGATCGGCAGTTTCAACCCACCAGCCACTCCTCAGCAGAAAAATGGGGCAGTCTGCTTCTGTAAAGATTTACAGACTTAGAAACCCTGTGGGCCAATTCTGCTCTATCCTATAGGGTCATTAGGAGTCAGAATTGGCTCAATGTCAATAGGCATACTATATATAATAAGGAAAAATGGACATTCAGGATGGGATTTATCATTATCATTATTTTCTTGTGCTTGCGTTATTGGCATTTTTTTCAATCAGAGATTATTTGAAGGAGACAATTTAAAGCATAGTTCATTTTTTGTAAGCATCATTTCCATTTCCTGATGGTTAGTTTAAACTAGATAATACAATGGAATCCACCATATGAGATTGACACAAATGGTAGCTCATCAAAGTGTGTCAGAATTTAGCATAGAAATCTGTTTATCTTTATTAAATTTTCTACAATGTGGCCCTCCCATAGTTCTTCCAGAATGTAAATACCTTACACGGAATACAACAGTTCTGCCATGCAAATCAACTAAGACCTCAATTACAATATACAAGATTAAGCATGTCATCATAGTAGAAACATAGGGGACTAGTATGTCATCAAAGCAGAAACATAGGGGCTAGGTTCTCAGAGGAACCTTCCCCCAACGCAGAAGCAGCAGCTACTGGAGAGGACACACCATGAGGCCTTGCTGGCCTAACTTTTCCCATTAATAACGATACTGCAGTCAGGTTTCAGTTTCTCAGCTTAATAAAACTCCCTCTATTCTTAATTTTCTAGTAATTTGTATAGAGGTTGAATGTTGTTATTATTTTCCTACAGAAAAAAAATGCCCAAAACAATAGTAAGAAACAATTTTATGAGATTTGTAAACTCATTAGTAATCTAAAAATGAAATGCAAAGTGGAAAAAAAAATCCCTTTCTGAAAATTTCCCAAGCACTGCATTGTTTAGGCATAAAGAAATCAGTTGCCATGGAGTCAGTTCTGACTCATGAGACCCGTGTGTGTCAGAGAACTGTAATCCACATGGTTTTACTGGCTAGTTTTTCTGAAGTAGATTGCCAGCAGCAGCTCTGGGTGGACTCAAGCCTCCAGCTTTTCAGTCAGGCACAGTAACTGTTTGCAGGACCTAGTGCTACCACATGTCATTGTAAACCAAACCTCAGGATATTGCTGATCACTGTGGAAGGCAGGGAAATGGAATCAAGAAGAAGCGTATAGAGACAAATTATTGGGAATGTTATATTTCTTAGGTTGCATAACAAGTTTATGGATGATCATTAAGTAATTATGTTTAATAACATACATTCTATGCAGCTATGAGTCAGGGCTGACTCGACGGCACATAACAACAACAACAACAATGCAGCACTGGGTTACTCAGTAAGTGAGATAAGCATGGGCTCACTTGTGCTTACTTATTAATCTGTAGTGAGCAATTTCATTTTTTTTACCACACCAAAAATTTACTTTCTAGGCATGGCTGGCATCTATCTCTCTTCCAACCCCACAACACCCTCCTACAAATTCAAAGCCTCTTTTCAAACTTATAATCCCTGAGAGGAATGGAGTATTCAGTAAGCAATGTAAGCACAGGCTTACTTGTGCTTATTACTAATCTATAGTGAACAGTTTTACATGTTGTTCACCACATCAAAAATTGAGTCTAACTGAATCATTTCTATAAAGTCATTTACAAGGACTTTTGATGGCTCTTTCTATCACTGTCATTTATGTAACTATGTTCATGGAACTGAAGACAGGATACATGAGTGTAGATATTGATACATGGACATAAACATGTGCATCTACAATTACTGCAGAAGTTTTACTGTATCAGGTAAAACTTTAAAGTGTAGGTACCCAGTGCTTTTGTATAATAGTGAGGTATCATGGCATCTGGAAATTCTATCTTTGAGACACTCAAAGTGTAATGGAATTGTAAGAGCAGAAGGTAGTTGGAAAACAATTACTTAGGACTCCCCTTCTCTCACTTCTGCTAACTGAACAGATTTGAATCCACCAGCCACTCAGCAGGAGAAAGATGTGGCAGTCTGCTTCTGTAAAAAAAATTGACATCCTTGGAAACCTTATGAAGCAGTTCTACTATGTCCTATAGGGTCACTTTGAGGCAGAATTTGACTCAACAGTAATGGATATCTGCATTTATCTTTAAAATCAAATAACCATATATGTTCCTACATTCTTCTAAGAACTTTATAATCATTATTGAAGAAATACAACCAGAATGTTTCTTAGAAGCAAGGATGATAAGACTTTAACTCACTTACTTTAGACCTGCCATCAGAAAAGACCAATGGCTAAAAAAAGGATATTATATTTGATAAGGTAGAGGGCCAACAAAAATGAAGGAAACTCTTAATGAGATGAATTGACATAAGGACCTCAACAACAAACTCAAACTCACCAATGAGCATGAAGATTATATAGGACCAGGCAACCTTGTTGTATATAAGGTCACCATGAGTCTGAGCTGACTGAACAATTAATAACAACTTATTCAACACAGATTTAGCTTGTATACAAAAACTTCTGAGAAGAACATTGTGTTTTCAAGATGTCAACTCCTATTTTATTGTTATTATTCTCAAAGTCAAGAACATTCGCATTTGTTTTTATTAAGCATCAGATGGAACTAACGAGTTTTCTTATCACCACCAACCTTACCCAACCCTGATCATACTCCTCCTGATGATAGTGCCTCTCTCCTGAGGTTCTTGTTAGATTCAAGGAGTTCATTAAAAACACATAGAATGGTGCCTGAACACTGAAAGAAATCAATGAGTCAGCTTTTAGTACCCATGCAAATATAATAAATGCAAGGATTTTTGTCTCTTCTCTGCTATCTTCCATCCCCAAAACAATATTAGTGCGTGCCTAGTGCTCAATAGAAATTTGCAGAGTAAATAAATGAATCTGATAGTCACTTTGGCTTTAGAAAAAAGAGTAGGGACTTAAGGGAAAATGGGAAGAGATAAAGAAATAGAAGACATTATAAAGAAACAGAGATAATAGCTCTAGCTGAACAACAGACTTTGATATAAGACTTTACAAAGTCCCATAGGTCCTCACACAATTTGTGAAAGTGACATTGTTACTGCCTCTATTTTTAAGTGTAGAAGTTGAAACCCAAGAAAGTTAAATAGTCCGTGAATTGGTAAGCCCGATGTCTAACTTGACTCTTCTAATTCCATCCTGCACAAATTTAGATCCTCTAACAGGGAAAGAAGCCAAAGCAAAGGGAGTTAACAGGAGCAACTGTCTCTGTTCTGCTGGACAGAAATGAATCAGTCCTGCTAGAGGACATGCTGGTAACCTGCTCTCCCTGCCTTTGCTCCCCAGCATTCCAAGCCAACATTAATCCTCACTGCTTCAAAAGAGTGTGCAGTCCTGCTTGGTGTCCCCTCCTTCACTCTTTGCTGTGGGGTCTTGAGGTGGGAAGAGCCCTGAAAGAAAACTTAGAAAACCTTGGTTCTAACCTGCTCTGAACTTATTGTGTGAGTTTGAGTGAATTCTTTAACCTTTCCCCATTTATTTATTCATTTGCCTACTGAAAGCATGAGGTAAGGAGATAAGAGGAAAGTACCTTGAATATCATAATAGAGAAGGGAATGGATTTCATCAAGTACTGTTTCAGTTGTCATAAAGCATTATCTCATTTAATCGGTGGTATTATCCATTGTATAGATGAGGTACTTGGACTTCCAAGAAATTCCCCCATTCACATAATCTCATGGGTTTTCCTGAATGAGGGAGCGAGTGTAAAAGCCCTTCAATATCACGCTAAGAGCCTATGGATTGGACCCTGAGAGAGAACAGTCACATCTTACATTTACTTGTATCCCCAGTGCCTCACTCATTGGCAACACTCCATAAATATTTGATGAAAAAAGGTTGAATGAATAAATGGGATTATTAAGAAATCAAATGATGTATTGCATTGGAAAAATCTGCTGCAAAGGACCTCTTTAAAAGTGTTAAAGAGCAAAGATGTTACTTGGAAGAATAAGGTACACCTGGCTCAAACCATCATATTTTCAATTGCTTCAAAAGCATGTGAGAGCTGGACAATGAATAAAGAAGAATGCAGAAGGAGTGATACATTTGAGTTGCGGTGTCTGTGAAGAATAGTGAGTGTGCCATGGACTGCTAGAAGAATGAGCAAATCTGTCTTGGAGGAAGTACAGCCACAATGCTCCTAAGAAGCGAGAATGGCCAGACTTCATCTCTCACACATTGGCCATGTTGCCAGAAGGGACCAATCCCTAGAGAAAGATCTCACACTTGTAAAGAAGAAGGTCAGCAAAAAAGGAGAAGACCCTCAATGAAATGGATTGATTCAGTGGCTGCAACAATGGCTCAAACATGGAAAAGATTGTGAGGATGGTGTAAGACCGGACAGTGTTTTGTTCTGTTGCAAATAGTGTTGCTATGAGTTAGAACTGACTCAAGGGCACCTGACAATGACCTTATTACTATGAAAAGATCTAGGAGGACAATCTTCATTGCATACATCAAACTAGAGAGATGAAGCCTGTGTCAGATGCTACAAAATGGGAAGTCTCATAATTTCCTGGATGAATGGAGATTCCCTGGATTATCACTTCTTCACAAAGTCCCCCTTAACCTTAAACAGTGTCCTCATGGCATTTTTTACCTCATTGTTTCTCAGTGTGTAGATCAGAGGGTTCAACAAGGGTGGCATCACAATGTTGAAGAGGATGACAAGTTTGTCAGCAGCCAGGGTAGTGGAGGGACGAATGTACATAAACATGGGGGGCACGAGAACCAAAAGGACAGTGATGATGTGTGAGCCACATGTGGACAGAGCCTTGCGCCTACCCTCCAATGACTGGCTTCTCAGGTTCAGTAAGATGACTATGTAGGAGATGATGAGAACAAGAAAGGACACTAAAGAAATCATACCACTGTTGGCCACCACAATGAGACCCACAACATAGGTGTCTGCACAGGCAAGCCTCAGCAGGGGATGAACATCACAAAAGAAATTATCGATCTCATTGGGTCCACAAAAGGGCAGCTGGACTGTGAGGAGGGTCTGCAGGATGGAATGCAAGAAGCCAGGCACCCAAGATGCTCCTGCCAGTAGACTACACTTCTGCCGATTCATGATGGTTGTGTAGTGCAGGGGCTTACAGATGGCCACATAGCGATCATAGGCCATGGCTGTGAGGAGAAAGATCTCAGTGCCACCAAAGAAGTGGGCAGAAAAGAGTTGGGTCATGCAACCATTGAAGGAGATGGTCTTGCATTCCATGAAAGTGTCTGCAATCATCTTGGGTGTGGTAGCAGATGGATAACACATGTCGGCAAAAGACAGGTGACTGAGGAAGAAATACATGGGAGCATTCAAGGTCTTGCTGGCATTGATAGTGACAATGACCAGAAGGTTCCCCAGGACAGTGAGTACATGGAAGAGGGAGAAGACTACAAAGCAAGCATGTTGCATCTCCCTGCTCTGGAAAAGGCCGAATAAAACAAACTCAGTCACGTTGTTCTTGGTGCCCATGGATTCTCTTCTTCAAGCACCAAGGAAGTGATTGGCTCTGCAAGGACAAAAAGTACATAATATAAAAAAGTTTCTCAAGTCCAAAGAGTCAAAAAAACAGTACTCATATCCCAGCTATGCTACATACTGTGAACTTCAACAAATCAATTAACTTTTCGGGACCTTAAGCTATTTGTAACTTCTGTGTTTACATTGCATCTGGTACACAGCACCATCATGATACTTATGATATTGTTCTGTAATTATTTATTTACATGTCACCTCTCTCCGTGAGTCTAAGAGTTGCTTGAAGGAAAGTTCTTGACTTCTGGTGTCTGGTAATGACTAGTTTGATATCTGGCACACAATATGCTTTCGAAAAATGTTTGTGGAATAAAAGAATGAACAAATAACAGCCCTGTATACTTCCACATGTTCAAAATTCAACTCCTCATCTTTCCTAAAAAGTACATATACAGCTAACAGATATCAGTCTCAGTTGATGGAAACTCTTATTTTCTGGTTGCTTACCCTAAAAATCTTAGATTCCCCTTTCTCTCACATCTCGTACCTAATTCATTAAGAAATCTTTTTGTCTTTACCTATTACATGTAATCAGAACCTAACTACTCCTCATCACCACTACAGCTACCAACAGGGTCTGAGCCACAATCATCAATTATTTGCTTCCTAACTGGGGTCCATAATTGTCCTCTTTATATTTATCACACCCCTAGTCTATTCTCATTAAACCACCAGAATGCCGTCTCTAAGCCCTACAATGTCTCCTCATTCCATCAGAGTTAAAACCAGCTTCTTTACTATGATCCCTAGGATCTCACATAAGCAGGCCCCAATAGACTCTCTAACTAAAGTCATCTCCTCCCACTCTCCCTCTTGTTCCTTCTTTCCCTAGCATTCTGACTTCCTTCATGTTCTTCAGATACACAAGACATGCTACCACCTTGAGAACTTTCCACTGGTTATTCCTTCCATTTGGAACATTCCTCCCCTGGTTATCTATTGGCTGTTATCCTCTAAAGTACCTAGCACCATGTCCAATGCCTTTCCCAACAGGGCTGTTTTAAGGATAAACATTAAAAAAAAGAGAGAGAGATGTTGACATTAGGAAGGTGAACTTCAAGTCTGTTCTTCTGATACTTGAAAAACCACAGTAAGTACTACAGTGAGTACATAGCAACAACTGGATGGTAGAAAATGGTTATAAATGGCTGATTATCAAGCATGTGGGGTAGAGAACACAGTCCTACAGGAGTACGTTTGAGCATTGCTTTCATCATAACTACTCTGGTATTGTGGTTGCATAAACAAATCAAATTAAGTTTCTTACTGTAAAATTTGTGAAAGCTGGAACCTGTGTAAGGCAGAAACCTGTCAGAGAAAGAAAACTCAACTATTTCCATGAAAACAAGTGATAGTGACCAAACTACACCCTGTAAAGGACAACGCATAGGTAGAAGAAAGCAAAAGGGCTCCTTCAGCATATTTAAGGTCCCAGGTGGTGCAAAAGGTTAGTGGTGGACTACTAACCTCAAGGTTGGTAGTTCGATCCCTTGAGCAGTTCAGCAGAAGAAAGACATGGCAATCTGCTTCTGTCGAGATTAGAGTCAAGAAAACCCTGTGGGGCAGTTCTACTTTGTAACACATAGGGTCATCATGACTCAACAGCTACCAATTTGGTATTTTTATTTTCAGCATATTTACAAGAACTGTAATGAGTGTCGGGTTCTGGATCTCTAGGGCAGTGAAGGCCCTGTAAAGGGTTTACAAAAGACTGAGGGGAAGAATAGGAATGCCTGGGATGCAAACTCACTGAGGTTGGCACCAAGGGTTTGCTCAGAGGAACCAAGTTAAGGAGCAGCTGATGTTAGGAGAATAAGCCATGGCAATTTAGAGGCAAGAACAAGGAATTAATTGTCCCCTCCTAGGACTTTCTACCCATGCTTATTAAGCATCTTCCTCTCCCAGAGATTTCCAACTGAAAACATATGTATTGTTACAGTGAAATTGTTCTGTTATTCACTCCTAAAATTCTTAAGATGGTTTGACCAGACAGTTATATTAGGATAGAGAGGAGAGCTAGCTCTGCAGATAGCCAGCCAGTTCCTGCCATTGAAGGAGATGCTATAACCAAAAATAATATTATTGTGTTATATTCCCTCAAAAGATTTTGGTAGTAGGCAAATCAGTTGCCTTTATTTCATGAGAAAAGACACCCTACCACATTTCCTTGTTAAATAAAGTGTAAAGCATGCACATTGTTTCGATCTGGTCCTACGTAACTCTTCAAAAAGAACAAACGACGGCATTGTGATGGAGGGACAGATGCCTGCATGGGATTACACAGCTGGTATACAGGCTGTCCACCGGACATTACACTGGGGGGTAGCATCATAGTCAGCAAGATCCCAAACTCGAGCCAGACTGTGAGACTGAATCCCAGCTCTGCCTCTCCCTAACTGAATAACACACAGAAAGTTACTTCACCTCTCAGAAACTCAGTTTTCCCATATGAAAAATGAAAATAGTGATTGAAGTTATCACCTAGGGTGGCTTTTGTGAGGCTCCTATGAAGTAATGCATATAAAAGTATTTAGCATAATTCCTGACACTTCAGAGGTGCTTGGGAGTCCTTTGAGTGGGCAGGTGGTAAACTCTTTGACTATTTCTCTATTTATAAGCTTTTACGTTACTCCCAAATTTTGCTATAATCAATGACCCTAAAGTAAATCTTCAGACAATTGTCCCTAACATTGGTTCTTGAAATGGGAAAGGTGAGATGAATGCCATGAGCATTTTTTACCATCAGGTAGAGTCTCAATGCAAGCTGATGACAACTTCTATGACAGGAATGAGAGAGCACGCTGATAAAACATAGACAATCATTAACTCCCAAGCCACAACACTCTTTTCTGGTCTAAACATCTCCAAACACCTTCAACCTCTCCTCCAAGGATTTATTTCTGTCCTTCTTTGCTCCTCTCTTGAACTCTACAAATTTCTCCCACATCCTTAATTCATAAATACATCCTAGAATATAGTGTGTCAGTCAGTACCTAACCAAGACTGAATATAGTACAAAAAAAGATGCTCCACTTCTTGTAGCTCACAGTACTGCCACCTTTGTGAAGCTCCTGGGTCAGGCACTGTTCATGAATTTCACACATTATCCCAGTTCAAACTCGTCACCACTTTTTTTTATCTCTTTTTATCTAGACACACCTGATCATTCAGGCTGTCTTCCTATGTAACCACCCATAGATTAATGTTTGTTATTACTGATAATGCTACAATGTGCATGTAAGTGTTCACCTTTGTTGTATCTCTTGTGCACCTCTCTGTGTCTTCTTTTTCCTTGGTGTTATTGTGCTGGTCACTTGCATTTGATGTATTGCCTTTCCCTTCATTCAAATCAATACTTGTCTCTTACCTATCTAGAAGTTCTCATCAAAACTTTTTAGGTATTAGTGTACTCACTTTACAGATAAAGAAAATCAAGCTCAAACATTTTAACATTTAAGTCACTTCTTCAAGATCACTGATAGGAAATGCCACAATGGGAATTAAAAGCAAATCTGTCTGATTCCAAAACTAATGCTCTTAATATACTCTCCATACCTCCTTCACTTTTTCATGAGTTAAAAATTTCAGGAATTAACACAGAACTTGACTTTGCATAAGGAAGCAACATGATTCTGTGAAAGGCACTGGTCTATAGACCAAAACACCTCAGTTTTAGTCCCAATGCAGTGACTAATATTTGGGTGGCCTCAAACGACTCCCTCCTTCTCTTTGGTGCTCTGTGTCCCCATCTATAAAAGATAAGTGTTGGACTAAGTGCTATGATTCTAAGCAGGAAAAACAAAAAGATGTAAAACAAATAATTTCACTGAAAATGATAATTTGTGCCTAATTAAAAATAAGTAGAAAGCAAGTGTGTGCCTTTCCATCTTTACTAATTCCTTTGCTACTTTCCCTGAGAATTGGTGGAAGACTGAGTTGCACATGACTCATTTGCCATGCTTTGTACTGCCTTTAATCTCTCATCAGTTGACAGATACATCCTCTGTCTTAAAAAAGATTAAAATGTAAAAATTATTTTAAGTATTCTTTTAAGCATCAGATATCCAGGCAATTCATTTATGTAAAAGAACATCTTGCCAGGTGGACCTGCACTCTGGGAAATGGGTTCCAAGACTGGACTTGTTCTACTTTTTAAAACTAATGTGGTGTCAGGGACCCAGAACAGAACAGCCCATGGGAAAGACGGAAACACAGCCTGCTCTGCAATCCTGACCCCTCCACTCTGCACACACATCTTTCCAGCTCTTGCTCTGAGCATTCACCTGGAAACTCTCTACATAATTAAATACATATGGGACTCCCTCCAAGCTTGATGGTATCATCTCCACAAGTATAAGGAATAGTAACTAGAGCTATATAATTACATCAACTTTCAATTATTGAGCAAATGCTATATGCCAGACCCTGTCCATATCTCTCAATTCTTCTACCAACATCACTATGAGAAAGCTACTATGATTGTTTCTGGTTTTCAAAGGAGGAAAGTGAAGGTTGGAGCAAATGAGTGACTTGGCAAAGTTCATTTGCACAACCTGCAAGAGGCAGAGTCGGAAATGGAATCCAGTGTACCAGGCTTTAAAGCTACCTTCTTGGTCCCTAGCCCAAACCCACAGCCATCAAAGTGATTCCAATTCATAATGACCCTCATTGGGTTTCCAAGGCTGTAAATCTTTACAGAAGTCGATTGCTTCATCTTCCTCCATAGAGAAGCTGGTGGGTTTGAACCACTGACTTTCTGGTTAGCAGCCAAATGCCTTACCACTATACCACCAGAGTATAGAACAAGAAATTGAGAGCATTTGATTAACCAAAATGCATGTCCTCAGTTACTAAGGGGTGAACAAGAAAACATCTATAGGAAAAGGATTTCAATGGCACTGTGGGAATCTTGGGGGGAAAGAATTCAATCCCCATGC